TTTGGTCTTGGAGGGTTTTTTTTTTTTTCAGGAACTCTGGGCCTGAGCCGACACTAAGCACCACCTGTACGTAACCTCCCAGGACTGAAGGGAGCCATTATGCCATCATCACAATTCCATAAAGGATGCTATTTTGCTAACCAATTGAAGGAGGACCACAAGCATAGCAAGCCAAGTGGGAACTTGGACATGAGCTGGACACGCACTTCTCAGCCCTAAATTCAGTCTGTAAGAACCTAAATCCCTGACCTTTCAAGGAGCTTGGGAATGAAATGATAGTTCTCTGGCTCCTTGCTCTATGCTTTACAGTGCACACCTCCTTTCTTCCACTACTTCCACGTCATTGATTGACTTTCTGTGCATTGGGCAGGCGGACCTGGTTTTGGAGACTTTATAACTCTAATTTTTTTTAAACGATTATCCTAGAGGAATTAGGTTCAATGGGCTTGATGGGCACTTTGCCATTAGATAGAAGCAGTCCAGGGAAAGAATTCAAGTTTCCTATTGTCAGGGAGGGGCATCCCAGGAGGTTTCTCTGTGTTTTGATAAATGACTTTGGAGAAGTGATTCTTTTCTTTTAAGACATTTATTTATTTGAAAGAGCTACAGAGAGACAGGGAGAGACAGGGAAAGAGTTCTCTCATCTGCTGGTTCACTCCGCAGATGGCTGCAACGCCAGGCCTGGGCTAGGCTAAAGCCCAGAGCCAGCAGCTTCTTCTGGGTCTCCCACGTGAATGGCAGGGGCCCAAGTTTACTTGGGCTGTCTTCTGCTGCCGCTTTTTCCCAGGCCATTAGCAGGGAGCTGGATCAGAAGTGGAGCAGTGCAGATATAAACTGGTACCCATATGGTTGCTGACATCACAGGCGACAGTTTTACCCACTAAGCCACAGTGCTGAACCCCTCCAGTGAGTTTTGGGGACTGTTCTATACCATTTAAATTCAATAAGTAATTGCCATATCTTTTATTTTTTATTTAATCAGTACAGTCTCTTTAACATATTAACTTGTTCTTCACTTTGGACATTTGCAACATAGTGTGATAATCTATTCTTAATAGGAGTCATAGGAGTCATAAAGAACAAAACCAAAGCACAAAGTCTTCATTAATGGAAAAACTCTTGTTTTGAGCAAAATCATTAACATTAGGTAACCTATGTGGGTGAGCATTTAATTGAAAGTCAAACATGAAACATGGAAATTAATGTTGGCCAACAAGGAAAGATACTGGTGGTGCTTCTGTTGTTTTTGATTTAGATAATGCAGAGGATCTCAGGCTTGGATTGAGCTGGGGCCATTAAATACTGAAATATCCTTGAAAGTTCCTGACATATTATATATTGATCCATCTCCATGGGCTTTTTCTCTGAAGTTATTGATATTACTGCCTGGATTTCAAAATTGCAATTTGATTTATGTTATCCCATTCATTTAATCCCTACTTTGTATGTGTGCATTGTAATTCCCACCTGGGTACATACAAACCACCAGCCTGGAGTCTGTGGCAGACAAGTAATTCCATTTAACAGCTGTTAAATAGGGGAATCCACAGGTAGCTTTCACTCAAATGTTAATTGCTCTCAGCGCTTTGCTCATAAACCCACCCTGAAGTCAGTACTTTAAGCTCTATTGCAGAGATGTCAAAGATAAGTTACAGGCATCCTAGCAAAAAGGAGGATGGGCTCAGTCCTAGAACTGAGTGAATGTGCCTAGGCCCCTGAAACCAATACCAGCATGGAAATTAAAAAGTGATTGATGCTGGTAAGGCACTTGTTTCCTAGATGGTAAAGTTTTGGGGAAAAAAAACCTCCTAAAACCCACAGTGAAAGAGTCAGAAAACAGTTCCAAAATCTGACTGTACAAAGAGGCTCGAAGTCCACCAGCAAACTGCCAAACTGTACCACAGTCCCAAGCTGGGATAGAGGTTGTACATTATCTGCTGTTTTGGAATTCACTAAGCAAATGAAGAGTGGATTTGGAATTAAGCAAACGAACGCGGAGATTTTATTGGAGCCAGCTGTTTTGAATGTTGCATTGATGATCACTTTGTACACAGTGGTGTAGCAAATGCCTGGGAGGCTTATTGGATTATTATTTTTTTTACCAACAACTGTCTGGAGTAAACAAGTACCCTAAGAGGAAATAAAATCAATAGTATGATTTGGAATCTAAACTTCAGTTTCTTCATCTATAAAATGAGGTCATTAAACTACAGGCAGTCTCCAGTTAGAATCATTCTGCTTAAGAGTTTTCAACTTTATGGTGGTACAAAGTGATACAGAAACTGAGCGCCCAAACAGCACCTTGAATAGGCACACATGCCAGATAACATCAGGGTCAAACCTACTAACCACCTTCCTTTGCTTAACCACTGAATTGAGGGAGTGGTCCACCCAGGCCTTACAAGATTCTAATTGTCGCTCCCCCTCTTCATGGAGGAGCAACACTAAGCCCTGCCTAGGCTTCATATCTGAGTCACGGCACCATTATGTCGCTCCCCCTCTTCGTGGAGGAACGACACAAGACCCTGCCTAGGCTTCATATCCGAGTCACGGCACCATTATGTCGCTCCCCCTCTTCGTGGAGGAACGACACAAGACCCTGCCTAGGCTTCATATCCGAGTCACGGCACCATTATGTCGCTCCCCGTCTTCGTGGAGGAACGACACAGGACCCTGCGCTGTTCTTTCGTCTGCTCGGCCCTCCCCGGGTTTGCTGCTGGTTCTTCCCGGGTTGGCTACTATCCCTTCCACCTCCGTGGAAGGGCAGTTCCCCCTGGCCGCATTCCCCACTTCCGCAGGGGAGCGGCACACCGCCGGCCGGCTTTCTCGGGGGCTGCACAGGTGTTCCCCTTAGATGTTCCCCTTAGATGTTCCTGGTGCATGCCGTCTCTCTCCTCCTTTATAGTCCTCCTCCGCCAATCCTAACTCGGCTGCCCACACGCCGAGTACGCTGCTCTCCTCCAATCAGGAGTAGGTCCTACAGTTTATTGGTTGAACTGGAGGCAGCTGTGTAGAAGCTGTTTTCTCCTCTCCCAGCGCCATATTGTGGGAGAGCAGATGCATAGAATAAGTCTTAATTCCAGTAACAATATAGTCCGAGTTGCTCCCCACAGTGGGAGAGCAGATGCATAGAATAAGTCTTAATTCCAGTAACAGTATAGTCCGAGTTGCTCCCCACAGATCCCCCTTTCTTTTTATTTTTTGGCGTTGATACGCGCCTGTCTTCGGTGTCCCGCGGCACACACTCTGCTCTGCTTGCTAGAGTTGCCACAGGTTCTTACAAGTCCTATCAATCAGGCAAACCGAATCCAGGTCCTCTCTTCGCCATGTTGTGAGGAGGTTTTTAGGCGCTGATGTGTGCCTGTGTTCGGTGCCCCGCAGCGCATGCTCTGCTCTGCCTGCAGGGGCTTACAAGCCCTAACAATCAGGCAAACCAAATCCAAGCCTTCTCATTGCCATATTGTGGGGAGGCTTATTGGTGTTGATTCGTGCCTATCTTCGGTGACCTGCAGCTCATACTCTGGTCGAGCTGCTTGCTGGTGCTTACCGCCTTAATCAGGCAGACCGAATCCAAGCTCTCTCATTGCCATGTTGTGGGGTGACTTATTGGTGTTGATAATGTGCCTGTCTTCGGTGACCTGCGGCGCATAAGCTGCTAGCCGCCCGCAGGTGCTCACCACCTCCCTAATCAGGCAGACCGAATCCAAGCTCTCACATTGCAGTGTTGTAGGGAGGCCTCTCTATTTCTCTATTTCTCTATCTCCGGGCATTCCTATTTCTCCCATTTTACTTCTATCTTCCAGCATTCCTATTTCTCTCCTTTTACTTCTAAACTTCTGTTTCTCTTATCCCTGCGGCTTCCCGGCGGCGCTCGCCCCGAGGCTGCTTCTCGGCACCTCGCCCCGCAGCAGCTTCACGGCTCTGCGCGGCTTCCCGGCGCCTCGCCCCGCCGGCGGGTTCCCGGCTCTGCGCGCACGCTCCGCGGTCTCCATGCACTTCGCGCCCGCACCACGGCCTCGCGCCAGCCCCGCGTTCCCCATCTATTCACGCCCCGTGCTCTCTCTGCACGCAGCGGCTTCCGCGAATGTTTCCGCCACCACCGGCATTCAGTCCAAGTTCCCCGGACTAACCTGGCGAATCCTGGCGGCCCACGTCTCTGCCTCTGGTTCCAGATCTTCACCTCTTGCTCCCGGGGGTGACTTGAAGAATTCCAAGGTGGCTTATATCTCCGCCTCGGCCTGCACTCGCGGCTTCATCCTCCCTAACATTTTTCTCTACCCGGTATGTTTCCTTAAGTTTTCTTCCAACAATATTCCTCTCATTTCTCCTGGCTTCTCCCCACAGTTCGTATCCGAGTCCAAGTTTCTTACAGGTTTCACTTTCACTTTCAACCTGCAGTCCATATCTGAGTCTAAGTTTCTTCTTGCTTTCACTTTAAATCCTAACTTCTTTCCCACAGTCCATATCCGAGTCTCTGCCTAGGCTTTCAATAGCTTCTTCCGGCACCTAGGCTCTTTGATAGTCTCTCTCTCTGGTATTTTCCTGCTTCTTCCCTCCTAGGTTTCCTATCCGAGTCACGGCACCATTATGTCGCTCCCCCTCTTCATGGAGGAGCAACACTAAGCCCTGCCTAGGCTTCATATCCGAGTCACGGCACCATTATGTCGCTCCCCCTCTTCGTGGAGGAACGACACAGGACCCTGCGCTGTTCTTTCGTCTGCTCGGCCCTCCCCGGGTTTGCTGCTGGTTCTTCCCGGGTTGGCTACTATCCCTTCCACCTCCGTGGAAGGGCAGTTCCCCTGCGGAAGTGGGGAATGCGGCCAGGGGGAACTGCCCTTCCACGGAGGTGGAAGGGATAGTAGCCAACCCGGGAAGAACCAGCAGCAAACCAGGGGAGGGTGAATCAGATAAAAGAACAGCGCAGGGTCCTGTGTCGTTCCTCCACGAAGAGGGGGAGCGACACTAATCACCAACTTGTGAGGTCATTTTCTTCTTAAATAGATAACACCTTAGTTGCCAGTACTGTCTTCAGGGGTTTCATTTAGGAAAATTCCGGGTCTGGGCAGGGGAATACCAGGTCCAGGGCAGAAAAGAACTACCACCTGCATGCAGCCCCCATACTGCCTGAGTGAGGAGCAATTGGCCATCATACCAACCAATCAGAGCGAGACAAATCGGTCAGGCTAAGTCTAATCTCACTACCTGTGGACCCCAAGGACCACCATGGTGAAACAGGGAAGGAATGTTTTGCCACCAGTCTAGCAACAAGCCTTGCTGCCTGACACCAAAGTTTTGCAGTTAGTTCATGATTCAGACCTGCTTTCCCTTTCTAACAATCTCTCTAACAACCCCAAGGCACCCTCATTGAGCAGGGAGGTATTTCTTGAGACTCCAAGGTCAGTTGGCCCCTCAGCTGTCAATAGATTAAGCTTTCCTTTTCCCTCAAATCTTGTCCTCATTATTTTGATTTGGCACTGAGGGCAAGGAACAAATTTTCAGTAGCCATACAAACTGAGTAGAAACTATTCTTTGAATTTTGAATATTGATCTTTCTCTGGGCTTGCAATAAGTGGTACGATAGTCTTCTGTGATGATGGGCAGAGGCAGCTCCCAATCAACCACATTCTTTGGGGTAAATTACCACACGCTACAGTATATTGTATCACAAAGCCAAGGTGTACTAAACACATTCCCAGCTCACAAAATTTTCAGCTTACCCTGGGTTTATCAGGATGCAACACCATGGTAAGTCAAAGAGCACGTAAGTCCTGTCATGGTTTCTGGTATTTTACTATGTCTATGAGGTCACTAAAAAAGTAAGAATCAGCTACTCTCATTCGGGTACACCAAAACATCCTGAGCACTACCTGAGTGACTAGCGAAACAACCACGCTCATCCACAGAGATATGAGGGCTACGCAAAGGTCCAGCTGGAGTCAGACTAGGCGATGGAGGACGAGGAAGTGGGAGAGTTTTGAGGCTGACCTGCCTGGCCTCAGAATTCTTAATCCCTTGTGTACACTAAGTTCAGCTATCCAAATATATGTGTTTATTTATTTAATTACATTTGTTGAGTATTAAGTACTTACTATGTGCCAGATACAACACAAATGTAAAGGTACACAAAAGATCTAAAGGCTGATATTTATAGTTAATTTAGTTTTTATTTTTGCATGATAAAATGTAAAATTTCGCTTGCATTTCCACTTTCATAGTGAGTTATAGGCACTTCCTGAGGACACACAGTGCATGTAAATAATTATTTTGTAGTCAGTTGATGACTACCCTTTACTGATGACATAGGTGACATTGATGATAACAAGTTTCATCCTAAGAATGTTCCCCTTGTGATGGCACTTGAATATTGCATGTTGGCCATAACTGGAGATATGGGGAATTCAGTTATTCTTTTGGTAGTTTCCGCAAACCTAGAGACAGAAAATGTGTCCATCAATTTCAAAAGATAATATTCCAATAGCAGTAACTGATTCAATGTATTTTGCAGGCTTATAGAAATATTACTATTCATTACTATTCAATAAACAAATTGAAGAGACTTCCACAGGCTTTGTTGTTTTGTTAATGATTACATTCATATTTAATAGCAAACATATATACATACCAAACAAATGGGCTCGTCTCTCTCAAAAAATATAGACTTTAAGGATAGGAGTTAGATAGGTAGATACAAAATATCCATCTGCTTCTTTTCTAATTCTTCTAATACTTGTATTTCTCAGCTTTCTTCCTATCCATTCATTTGTTCTTTAGCTCTTTGTTTACTGTTCCTCTCTTCATCAATATTTGTTCCCTAACTCTATCATAAGAAATTGTTTCTGCTTCTATAAGTGCATCCTCCGGGTATCTCTAGAGCAACAAGGCCATAATAAGACAAGATACCCAAGAAGCCACAGTACTAATCCACATTCCAGTGATCCTTGTTTATGTCCTATATACAATTTATATCACTACAAGTTAATCCTCAACTACTGTAGCAAGTTCCCAGGAAACATTTCACACAGCCTCACAAACTATCCCAAACTTACTGTAATGTCTCTGCTTTTCTACTGAGAACTCAGAGTTCTCACCGGGAAATGCCATGCTTATGCCTCCAATGTAAACCCCCTGATTTGTAGGTCTGCTAGTAATGGTATCCTCGCTACTACAAGGCATGCTCTGAAATTCAGATGTCAAAGCAACATGACTGTATTACAGAGTTTCTCAAAACTGCCAATCCATACATGCAGGTTACCAAGAGAAAGGAAGTCCTGCTGGAATGGAAATGAACACTGTTCCGCCTTCATCAAGATCATCTTGCCACCATAGAAATAAAAACATCAGCTGCATGAAACAGTGTACTCAATAACTTGTTGATGTACATTCTATTTAAGCAGCTTATCTCATTATGGCACCAGTCCATGTATGACACTTTGTATAGCTCTGCTTTATTGTCTAGTTTAGAAGAACAATATCTTTCTCCACTTAGATCTCCAATACTTTACAAGATATCCTAGTAGTAATGCTGATGCAGGGAAGAGCCTTTCCATGTTTATTAAAGTGAGAGAACTCACACTTGCATCCATGGAGAAGTGGGACTGAGATGGTTGGTGGCTAACTGGATGCTCTCTTCACAGTCAGCCCACTCCTCCAACCACTAAGGTCATGTTGTTGGATCAGGTTCATCTTGCCAGACTCTTTGCTCCCTTATGATGAGGCCTCTTCCTACAGGCTGCTCAGTCCTCATGTTAATGGAGCTCTTGCTAATCTGTCCCACTATATCATCACATATATCTTAACTCCACTTGGATCCAGCTTGTATGTAAAATTAAACTCAATCTGAATGCATTATACGTGCCTTTATTCATTAGATCATCTTTATTGGGCCGTGTGTGCTAGGTGGTGCAGAAGCTGTGGAACAGGAAGGTCGTGGCATTCACCAAAAAGAACCAGGAGAATAATTGAGGATAAAATACATGCATAAATACATATAACTATTTACTAATTCTAATAAGCAGAGGGCAAGTATAAAATACTATGGGAGATATGTGACATATGATTCAAAGAATAAAAATATTTGACTAAGAAGCTGCATTTGTGTTAAGCTTTGATGGATGTTTATGGTTTATGATAAGACAGAAGGTTAATGTAGAAACAACATTAAGATTGATCAACCATTGGATGTTTTTAACTGTGCAACTTCATTTGTACCCACTCCATGCCATGTGAAACCTGAACTCATGGTTGATAATTGCTCATGCTCTAATCTTTACACAGTGCATAAAATTCAAGCAAGCAATTCAAGGATAATGCTGTAGTCACTGTTTCTACATTTAAAGTGAAAGAACACAATTGATTTCTGGTGTGTTGTCAGACTAGTGCTTTGAAAATGTGAATAAAAGAACAGTGATTGATCTAAATGGTTTGAAAGTTAACTTTACAATAGCTATGTTTGTATAAGGCAGTGATTATTGTCTTGGGAGGCCTGACTGTAATTTGAAAGCATTTCTCCTTAAATCAGAGTAAACTTTTATACTATCAGCAATTTCTTTGCATCCTTTCTTTACTAAACTTTGCTTCCTATGCTCCAATTAGATTGATTTGGATCTCATTAATTCAGTGTCTAAAAGCTTTAGTATATGAAAATGAATAATTTGATGAACAATGGCAATTTAAACCTGTTTCTTTAACAGCAGTTTTAGTCTAAAGTAGACCACCCAGGTTTATTCTGTAACATTTGGAGACTACCTCTTCCACTTGTATTCTTTAGAACCAAATTTCTTGTTGATTTCTGAGAAATAAACATTAACAATAATTCACAAAGAAACTCCCTCCCATTTCCTGAGTATTGTAACAACTCTAAGTGTTGACATGTTTGGACTCATGGAAAGCAGCTCCTCTCATTTCATATAATAAAAAAATAAGAGTTTTCCCAGGGGGAAGCTGAGAGATTCTTTGAGCTGAACACCAGGGAATATTTTGTTCTAAACTTGTTTCATGAAAGAATTCTATTCTCCTCAATAAAAGAAAATAAATAAATACAGATCCATCAAGGCCAGCAGAGGGGAAGAAAACTAGTGGAAGAGGCACCTGGACTACATGGCTGCACTCTGTCCCCAACACTCCTTGTCCCTCTGAGACTAATTAGTTCCTACTTCAGTCATGCTCAAAGGAGATGATGCCTCCCTTAACAGTGCCTTACAACTTGCTCTGTTTGCACCACTGAGGCTGTCTGAAACTCTTAAATAAGACTGACCGAAGCTTGAGGAGTAACAGAGGAAAGCCAGTGTGGAGAGTATTGACTCTAGATAACAGGCTTGTAAGATACAGCTTACTCTCCACGTTCTCAGGCAATGTGTGTCCTTGTATGACCTCAAGAAAGGGGGTGGGGAGGGGTCCTATCTAAATCCTTCTCTTTCCAGTGGAAACATAAAATACAGAAAGATCTTAGCTTTTACTGATCATCAAATACCTCAAAGTCTATGCTGAAAGAGTGAGTTTATCCCTTTCTCCCACCTACCCACTACTGTCATCCTTAAACTTCAGTGCCCGCTAGAATCACTAGAGAGAAGAGTGAACATGAGAATCTACAGATCCTACTGCCAGACAGTTTGACTCAATAGGACTGGAATGGTACTGGAGAATCTCTATTTTAATGGATGCCCCAGGAGATTTTAATTCAAGTTTCTTGGACCACATATTGATACACTCTACACTAGAGACTTTGTTGACGCTTTTCCACATATTTCCTAGTAACTGTGTCTGTGAATGATCTTCAAGGAAAGCCAAGACTTATCTACAATCACAGTCATACAGTTTCAGAAGGCTGCACTGGGCATAATGATCCTTTCAGACCATAAATCAAATACATTTATATGACACACACATGAAATAATACAAGTACCCCTATATAAAACGTGCTACCACCTTTGAATGTACCCTTGGGAAAGGTACTTACCTAAGTCCCCAAAATGAAAACTTTTGGCTAAATCTTTGGTACAGTCAGTTAATCTCTCATTCAATACATTTTCTAGGCATTAAAGTTTCTCCTATTTCAGGTCAGCATTATGACACAATGGTTAATTTGCTTGCCGTACCATATCAGAGCGCCAGTTCAAGACCCAACTGCTTTGCTTCTGATTCAGCTCTCTGCTAATGCGCCTAGGAAGTTCACAGAAGGTGACCCAGTGTTTGTGCCCCTGCCACCCACATGGGAGACCCAGATGGAGTTCCAGGCTCCTAGTTTGGGTCTGGCACAGCCCTAACCATTCTTTCTATTTGAGGAATGAACTACTAGTTGGAAGATCTCTTTCTCTATCTCTCCCTCTAGCTCTCTCTGTTGCTCTGTCTTTCAAATAAATAAAGCATTCTTTAAAAAAATACAAAACTTCTACTACTTTTAAAACATGAACATGGGGCTGGTACTGTGGCATAGCAGGTTAAGCCACTACCCGCAGTGCCAGCATCTCATATGGGCAACATTTTGAATCTGGGCTGCTCTACTTCCAAACCAGCTCTCTGCTATAGCCTGAGAAAGCAGTAGAAGATGACCCAAGTCCTTGGGACCCTGCACCCGTGTGTTCCATGTGATTGTCAATAGATTTTAAATTCAACTAATTAGAAAAATACTATCAAAACATTGTTATGACTTCAAAACCATTTTAAAATAACTTCCTTCTGTATTACTCAAAATATTGTCTACATTGGTTTAAAAAATAGCAAAAAATAGTATATCATATATATGAAATTGTTTTCATTCAGCTAAAGAAAATTATCAGTATACATATAGGATTACAGACTAAATATTCACTCTGAGAATACTGGACAACCACAACCCACAGCACAGAAACCAGGGTACTGACACTGTTGCAGATTCTCTTCAGTAATTCTTAAATTTCAATTTCCAGAGATTGTAGGGTTGGAATTATCAATATGAAATTTATGGATAAATTAAAAGAAAGCTTTAAAATGTTACTTGGTTTCCATCTTACTTCTACTTTCAAAATGTGAAAAGCTGTCTGAGATAGAAATGAAATTCTCAAAATGAAAGCTACTGTCATCTGTGAGAAGGTTTCTTTATGAACAGGATAAATAGAACCTTCAAATTAGCTTTACCAAGATAATTTAAATCTAGCTTAGGCCACACTTGTTGATTGTTTTGATTGGCCTGTGCCAGTGGACCAAAGCTAACTTACTGAAAGCATTGGAGTTCCACTCCACGTGCCACTCTACTTTTTATGATTATTAATGGAAACTACAAGTATCAAGTGACCCAGCATCATCTTCATTACAATGTAGTTAGCCTCAGCTTCAAGGAGGCATTTTTGTATACAAATGCTTTATAAGCATGAAGGCTCAAAATCTGCACATTAGTCAACTTCTTCAAGGAGGCCATTAAATCATGTTGACATTTTTGTTAATCATAATGTAAGCAAAACACCTAGATGGACTTGCTTGGTCTTTAACTTTGTGTATCAGGCGGAAGTCTGACTCCTGCTCTGTGAGCACCTCAGGAGCACTGAATTCGTGAATGTAGTGTGCTGTTCCTAGGGCCCATGGAGATGCTTCACAAATGTAACTTAAATGAGTAAATGAACGAATCAATGTAAATAAATTTCTTTTTTCTATCAACTTGGTATTATTTAACGAATAGCTATGTGCTCTTTTCTTTTCAAGCCTCGATCCTTCCTATGCCTTCAGTATGACAAATATAATTATTGATCAGGAAATTTTAACAGAGGCTCCTGAAATGCCTCACTTATTGCCAATGAATGCTTTATCTGCTGAAAGAATTCAGCTTCTTTCAGCTTCTCTACACACAAATGCAGGTCTCTCAATTTACTCCCACTAAAGTGAAAATCTATTTATTTAACAATCCATTGAACATCAAAAACTAAAGGTGTAATAAAGGACAAAAAGAACATGCAGATTCCAGTTCTATTGGAAGGTCTTAAAATGCAGTGAGAGAGAAATGACTGATACACAAATACCTAATAAATAGTTAATAAATGCCATAGATAAAGAGCAGGTCAAGTATTAGGAGGATAAATTAAACTAGTCATAACTAGTCTCTACTGGATTTGCATAAAGTTTTAGAAAAATGCCCAAAAATCAAGCCAATTTCATTAGTTCTATTTCATGTGTACTTTGTGAACAAGGGTTTTTATTGGCTTTAATGTTAAACATGTGATTCACAATTAACCCACAAGTGTTTACTATCTCATTATAACATGAAAGGATCATTAAATGTTCATGCCTAATTCCAGAATTCAAAAAAATTTCTTTTCTTGAAATTGTTAACACCATAATTTTATACACAATGTCCACCAACCAAAATTTTTAATGCAACAGTTTGATTTAAATACAGATAATATTCAAATGTTAGATATGATCTTGTTAATTCCAATGCAATGTACACTACTTGTTAACAGTCTTCCTGAAGCCAACATTGTTTTATTATTTGTTATCTTATGACTTAATATTAGATGATGTCACCTGAAGACCTTTTATTCACACATTTGCCATTTAGTTTGTAGCATTTAGATGCAGATGAATTTCTTCTGGGATGTTTGCATGAAAATTGCACTAAACTATTTTCTTGAGGATCTAGAGTATTTTGTTAAGTAGAATGTTTTTTAAGCAGATAAAAAAGGTGCATTGTCATTCCAGGCTTCAAATAACTCCAGAACATGGGGCTGGTCCATGGCTCTGCAAGTGGTCATGGTGTAATGGGGCGGTACACAATTCAGGCAACCTGACATGAATCTGCCCTCTCCACTCCATTCCACAATCCTCTCCTCCATTCCACAATCCTCTCCTCCATTCCTCATTCTACAGGTGGACCCAACTCTTTAATAGTTTGCCCATTCCCTGATAGGACTGTGGGGCTGAAGCAGGCAGTTTGTGATCCCTGAAGCTCATAGATCTGAGGGGCTAGCCCAGAGCTCCCCCAAATCTAAAAAAGCCTTCTCCTTTGGGGCCACACACTATGGATTTGGCTCTCCAGGGGGACAAGTGGTGTCAGAAGAAAATTTGTCTTGAGACTAAAGAACAAGACCAAACATGGTCTTGGACCAGAGGTTTCCAAACCGGCCATCCAAGACCAGACTTCCCCACATATAGCCATTTGGCCCCAATTTTTTAAAAATTAATTAGGTACCGGCCAGCGCCGCGGCTCACTAGGCTAATCCTCCGCCTTATGGCGCCGGCATACCAGGTTCTAGTCCCGGTCGGGGCGCCAGATTCTGTTCCGGTTGCCCCTCTTCCAGGCCAGCTCTCTGCTGTGGCCCGGGAGTGCAGTGGAGGATGGCCCAAGTACTTGGGCCCTGCACCCCATGGCAGACCAGGAGAAGCACCTGGCTCCTGCCTTCGGATCAGTGCGGTGCGCCAGCCGCGGTGCGCTGGCCACATCACGCCGGCCAGGGCGGCCATTGGAGGGTGAACCAACGGCAAAAGAAGACCTTTCTCTCTGTCTCTCTCTCTCACTGTCCACTCTGCCTGTCAAAAAATAAAAAATAAATAAATAAAAATAATAAAAAAATTAATTAGGTACCAATATCTTTAAATGTAAGATTTCAATTAGAAATCTGGATTTTGGGCCTCTCTAGAGGCAAAAATTAAGACTATCTGGCAAGGCAGTTTGGGTACACAACATTCTTGCAGGGCACTAAGTGTTTCTGGATACCATATGCCCTCCAGTAACTGGATACACTGCCTTGTCCTTATCCCCTACTGGAGATGGGGCCTCAACTGTCTTGTATCAGCATATATGTGCTGTTGTGCTGTGAGTAGCATCACAAGTACATATCATATCCAATGTATCTTTTATCTGTATCCAAAAGGGAGAAATGGAAGTCATGTCTCAATGTAATATGTTTCCAGTGGTCCTTATCACTCATTTATGTCCCTTTCTTGGCCCTACAGGAATCTATGTTTGTAAAATTATCTCAAACACATAGAACATCCCTAAATGCCTCCCCAAGGGACTCCTTATCACACACGCCCTGCCTCTCCAGTACACAACAAGCCCTAGTGTGAACCATAGAGACCCTGCTTTTAAGTCAGTGACCAACAAAAAGGAGGTCATAAAGGCAACTCAGGAGGCCAAGGTTGGGTCATTCTGAACTTGAGGGCCCCAAACATGTGAGTTCCATTCCCACGATTGCTTTGGAAATGAACAAGGCTCTTAGAGAGGAAACTATACGGGTGGTAGGTCCACAAGGCGGCCAGCTCAATAGATATCCTGGGCAACCAAGAACTGCCCCATGCATCCTCCTTGGGTCAGGGCTGCTTGCCCTAGACAAAACTCTGAGTGTCACAAAGGATGCTCAGTGAGTGCACTGAGGGTTTGAAGAGGGCAGAGAGCTAGAATTCAGCCCCGATAAACACAGGACTGAGGAAACGGGACCTCTTCCTCATCACCCTTCATTGTTCTGTGGCTGTGCCACTCTACTTGCCCTTTACAGAGGCGGAGATCTTGACGCAGGCCAGACGTTTCTCCCCACTGCTTAGAACGCCTTGGATGTAGTAGTTCCCGGTGACGAGCCAGTTGGGCAGCTCCATCTCAGGCACTGTGAAAACACGGCTGGGCAATGAGTAGGTACCCTCTTTAATGGGGCAGTGGCAGGGAAGCCCATCGGCGTGCAGCAGCTCTGAGCACGACTTCCCAGGGGGAACGAGCATGTCCAGCACATTACAGACGTTGTCATAGGTGCAGCTGCCGAGCTGTTCCACGCAGGGGATCTTGATCCAGACACCTGCCACTTTCTTCTCCACAGTTAATACCACCTTCTGAGGAGACACGAGGGGTACACTGGTCTTGACCTCAGCACCGATGGTCACATTCCCGGGAATGACAATGGGGTCAGGTTCCAGCGTCAGGCTGTTGACGATTACAGGGTTTTTCCCGTCGTCACAGTTATCCCAAGAAAAGCTACTGAGGTGGTTCTGGCGGGAGCCCGCAGGGGCTGCGGGGCGGGCGGGAAGCAAGGTGATAGCAATGAGAAGCGCAGCTTGCATCAGAGAGTGCATCGCCAAGGGTGGCTCCATGCAGCCTTAACTGCTGTTAAAAAGACGTTTAAAAAAAGGATTACTTGAGGGATAAGTAAGACATAAAACCCACGACAATATACATGCTACCTCTCATGTTCAAGAAAATTAAAAAATTCAAATAAATGTGGAGAAGTCAGAATAAAATTCCCAGCTAGCATCAGTGCTATTTGGATGTAAAAATGATTGATAGCAATTTGCATATCATATTGGATACACAAAAAGTTGTCAAGCTTAATTAATATTAGAAATGATGACATATTTTCTAATCTAATTACTTTATCCACATGATCAAGGAGAAACCAAGACATTTGGTAATTACGAGAGGAGACTGTGACATATTTATTTACCAGTCTAAATCTTGCCAAATTGCTAAGGTAATTTCAAACTATGTTATCATTCCCTGAACATAAACAATGTGTTTACAATAAACTAGGTTTTGGGGGTCTGAAGTTTGTTTGATTTGAGGGAATTTTTAGAGTAAAGAATACAAAATTACTGACATAAGTTCAGAGCCTTGAAAGACTCCAGAACAAGTGACGAATCGCAAGCATCCTCAACCCCACAATAATTCCCTCTGACCAAATATACAATATTTCCTGCAGTATTTTTGGTGTTATGCCATCAGGACGTTGGCTTAGACCTCCTAGACAGCTTGCCCTTTGGAGATTGTGCAATGCTGTGTCTGCAAGCTGGTTGAGCTAGATTAGCTCAACATAGGCTACGTAGCCATCCCCACTCTGCTACCAAGCAGGAGTAGCTACAAGCTCTCTCCCTGCAGGCAGATTGCTGGGCTTTCAATCCTTGCTTTATCTTCATTTGTGCTGCCATCAGCAGATTACCTGATCTCTCCAGGGGCTGCTTCCTTATCTACACAATGGGAAAAACAATGTAAGAACACATATTTCCTGGATTTGTTGAGGATTACAGCATGATGTAAGACATGGGAAATATTTGACACAGCGTTGTAATGCTGCAAAGGCATTAATACTGACTAAAAATCAGAATGTTAGTGGACTGCAAGTACAGTGATAGAATCGTCTTTCCTGGGCATTATTCATGATCATTTCTACAGAGGTGTCTTTCTTAGTAGCTGTTAGTGGTAGAGTTTATCGCATTCCTGAATACCTAGAATAAACTTCAGAAGAGCTCCATCAAATTTTTTAATTATTTTATCCTTTCATTACAAAGTTGTACAGGTAAATATATATGTTAGGGAAGTCTGAGATTTTCTTTTTTTTTCCTCAGTTCTTTTTTTTTAACTTTTATATAATGAATATAAATTTCCAAAGTACGATTTATGGATTACAATGGCTTCCCCCCCATACCGTCCCTCCCACCCACAACCTCCCCTTTCCCACTCCCTCTCCCCTTCCATTCACATCAAGATTCATTTTCGATTATCTTAATATACAGAAGATCAACTTAGTATACATTAAGTAAGGATTTCAACAGTTTGCTCCCACACAGAAACATAAAGTGAAAAATAATAGATGATTTTTTTAAATGATGATGAAATCAGATCAGACCTATTGTCATGTTTAATCCCAGTGAGAGTCAAGTTGGGAGTTGATAATTTCTTTTTTCTTTTTTTTTTTTTTTTTCAGAGGATCAGTTTAGTATGCATTAAGTAAAGATTTCAACAGTTTGCACCCCCATAGAAACACAAAGTGAAATATATTGTTTGAGTACTCGTTATAGCATTAAATCTCAATACACAGCACATTAAGGACAGAGATCCTACATGAGGAGTAAGTGCACAGTGACTCCTGCTGTTGACTTTACCAATTGACACTCCTGTCTATGGCATCAGTAATCTCCCTATGCTCCAGTCATGAGTTTCCAAGGCTATGGAAGCCCTCTGAGTTCTCCGACTCTTATCTTGTTTAGACAAGCTCATAGTCAAAGTGGAGGTTCTCTCCTCCCTTCAGAGAAAGGTACCTCCTTCTTTGAAGACCTGTTCTTTCCACTGGGCTCTCACTCACAGAGATCTTTTGCCAGAGTGTCTTGGCTTTCCATGCCTGAAATACTCTCATGGGCTTTTCAGCCAGATCCGAATGGCTTTAGGGCTGATTCTGAGGCCAGAGTGCTATTTAGGACATCTGCCATTCTATGAGTCTGCTGAGTATCTCACTTCCCATGTTGGATCACTCTCCCCTTTATTTATTCTATCGGTTAGTGTTAGCAGGTACTAGACTTGTTTATGTGCTCCCTTTGACTCTTAGTCCTTTCATTATGATCAATTGTGAACTGAAATTGATCACTTGGAGTAGTGAGATGGCATTGGTACATGCCACCTTGATGGGATTGAATTGGAATCCCCTGGTATGTTTCTAACTCTACCATTTGGGGCAAGTCAGCTTGAGCATGTCCCAAATTATACCTCTCTTCCCTCTCTTATTCCCACTCTTATGTTTAACAGGGATCACATTTCAGTTAATTTTCAACACTTAAGAATAACTGTTTGATAATTACAGAATTAAACCAGTCATATTAAGTAGAACAGACAAAAAAAACTACTAAGAGGGATAACGTATTAAGTTGTTCATTAACAGTCAGGGCTATGCTGATCAAGTCACCATTTCCCATAGTGTCCATTTCACTTCAACAGGTTTCCTTTTTGGTGTTCTGTCAGTTGTCACCGATCAGGGAGAACATATGGTATTTGTCCCTTTGGGACTGGCTTATTTCACTCAGCATGATGTGTTCCAGATTCCTCCATTTTGTTGCAAATGACCAGATTTCATTGTTTCTTACTGCGGTATAGTATTCTAAAGAGTACATATCCCATAATTTCTTTAGCCAGTCTACCGTTGATGGGCATTTAGGTTGGTTCCAGGTCTTGGCTATTGTGAATTGTGCTGCAATAAACATTAGGGTGCAGACCGCTTTTTTGTTTGCCAATTTAATTTCCTTTGGGTAAATTCCAAGGAGTGGGATGGCTGGGTCGAACGGTAGGGTTATCTTCAGGTTTCTGAGGAATCTCCAGACTGACTTCCACAGTGGCTTGACAAGTTTGCATTCCCACCAACAGTGGGTTAGTGTCCCTTTTTCCCCACATCCTCGCCAGCATCTGTTGTTGGTAGATTTCTGTATGTGAGCCATTCTAACCGGGGTGAGGTGAAACCTCATTGTGGTTTTGATTTGCATTTCCCTGATTGCTAGCGACCTTGAACATTTGTTCATGTGCCTGTTGGCCATTTGGATTTCCTCTTTTGAAAAATGTCCATTGAGGTCCTTGGCCCATCTCTTAAGTGGGTTGTTGGTTTTGTTTTTGTGGAGTTTCTTGATCTCTTTGTAGATTCTGGTTATTAACCCTTTATCTGTTGCATAGTTTGCAAATATTTTTTCCCATTCTGTTGGTTGTCTCTTCACTCTCCTGACTGTTTCTTTTGCAGTACAGAAACTTCTCAATTTGATGCAATCCCAATAGTTGATTTTGGCTTTGACTGCCTGTGCCTCCTGGGTCTTTTCCAGCAATTCTTTGCCTGTGCCAATATCTTGAAGCGTTTCTCCAATGTTCTCTAGTAACTTGATGGTGTCAGGTCGTAGATTTAGGTCTTTAATCCATGTTGAGTGGATTTTTGTGTAAGGTGTAAGGTAGGGGTCTTGCTTCATGATTCTGCACGTGGAAATCCAATTTTCCCAGCACCTTTTATTGAATAGACTGTCCTTGCTCCAGGAATTAGTTTTAGATCCTTGATCAAATATAAGTTGGCTGTAGATGTTTGGATTGATTTCTGGTGTTTCAATTCTGTTCCATTGGTCTATCCATCTGTTTCTGTACCAGTACCGTGCTCTTTTGATAACAACTGCCCTGTAGTATGTCCTGAAATCTGGTATTGTGATGCCTCCGGCTTTGTTTTTGTTGTACAAGACTGCTTTAGCTATTCGAGGTCTCTTGTGCCTCCATATCAATTTCAGCACCAATTTTTCCAGATCTGAGAAGAAGGTCTTCGGTATCTTGATTGGTACTGCATTGAATTTATAAATTGCTTTTGGGAGAATGGACATTTTGATGATATTGATTCTTCCAATCCATGAGCATGGAAGATTTTTCCATTTCTTGGTATCCTCTTCTATTTCTTTCTTTAAGGTTTTGTAATTTTCATCATAGAGATCTTTAACGTCCTTGGTTAAGTTTATTCCAAGGTATTTGATTGTTTTTGTAGCTATTGTGAATGGGATTGATCTTAGAAGTTCTTCCTCAGCCATGGCATTGTCTGTGTATACAAAGGCTGTTGATTTTTGTGCATTGATTTTATACCCTGCTACTTTGCCAAAATCTTCTATGAGTTCCAATAGTCTCTTAGTAGAGTTCTTTGGGTCCCCTAAATAAAGAATCATGTCATCTGCAAAGAGGGATAGTTTGAGTTCTTCCTTCCCAATTTGTATCCCTTTAATTTCTTTTTCTTGCCTAATAGCTCTGGCTAGAACCTCCAGAACTATATTGAATAGCAGTGGTGAGAGTGGACATCCCTGTCTGGTACCAGATCTCAGTGGAAATGGAGGAGGCAAGATGGCGGAATAGGAAGGGAGCACACTGATAGTCCAGGGATAGATAGTTTAATAAAAGTGGAGATACTGCAGGTTCAAGAAAGAGTAGGGGAGGAAACAGCAGAAGAAACTCTTCCAGAACGCGTGATTCACAGCGGACCTGCGTGGAGAGCGTGGGAGCCCACAGTTCGGGACACCAGCGGCAGACTCAACACACCAGCGCTGGAACGCGAGGTGAGCCGAACCTCAATAGAGAGAGGAGACTAGAGGGAACGACCCCCGGGGCAGGGGGGGGGTGGAGTTCACCAGGCTAACTGGAAGAGAGAGAGAAAAAAAAAGGTGACTGGTACGGACACGGGTTTCTCTCTCTCCGCTCACCTCTCAAGGGTGAGCAAGACAAAGAGCAGGCGCCATCTTGGACATACATCATAAGCAGAGCGACTTCAGGTCTGCACCGGCCCTGAGCCTAGCAGAAAAACCTGACTCTGGGCGGGGCGAATTAACAGGAGATTAGGA